AAAATCACTTTGCAACTTTTGCATCTTCTCATGACGCTGGCCCCCAAAGTGGTGTCAACAGCTCTCGGCGCACTGACTGATGGCTTGCTCATCCGGAAATGTTTTCCACTTGCCAGCTACGCCACTAGGCGCGATTTTCCAGCAGCCAGCGAGCGATTCGCATTAAAAAGGCCAACAAAGCGTCTTTGTCAACGCCTGACAAATTGGGCTGCGAAATTTCACAAAGCACTGGGCAAACACCAAAGCCAGCGAGCGACACTCTCCAAGGGGGCTGGCAGGAGGGGGTGGCAGGCAGTCGAGCTCATTTGGGCGTTTATTTTTGTATCTTTGTCTATCTCTTCTTAAACTATGCAAAGTGTTTTATTAAATGGAAAAGAAACTTTAAATGAGATCTAACTTATCGTTGACTGAGTTACTCAAGCTGCAGGTGCAAACTCTCCTGCTGAAAGCTGTTATGAGTGCCATGAGTAGCTGCATGAGCTTATCAAAAATATTTTAAGCAATGTCGTGTACTTGACCTAGTATGTGGCTCATTTTTAAAGAATATTTGTGGACTCGAATAGAATTGAATAGATTTTATAAAAATAAAATTAAAAAAAAAAGTGTTTGATGTACGGGGCGCTACGTTTTTCATCAAAGCTTTCATTATAGCTGTGCCTAATAACGAGTTCCCGGTGTGGCTCAACTCTAACCTCAAACCTCTAGTTCTGGTCAAATATTCTTGTTCATCGAACGCATAGCGACCCTGTGCGAAGGACATTACTAGCCGTCTCGCTCTCACTCAGTGGCACCCGGGACCACGTCCAGCAATAGCTATAGTTGTCTCTCTCCTAGTGACAATACATTCTACAATACTAAATCAATCGATTAGCACGAATTGCCAGCGTAATATCGCACTGATACGACATATACATATGTACATACATGTATGTATCTAAAAATTACCTTTACCAGCTATATTTACCCAATGTCCATCAACTACTTCTTCGATTCTCGATCTCAGCTGCTTGTAAAATATATTTGGGGAGTAGAGGCATTAAGAGAATGCAAACATTTATGCGCATTTATGTGAAAATTGGTCCACACAAAATCCTTGAGCTGCATGCAAATAACTCCTGGGGCCGCAGTCAACGTTGGCTGCCAGCGACACGCGGCGGCGGAATGCAGCCGAATGGGAAGATGTGACATGAGGCGATGCAAAATGCATTCCCAGTGTGATGATGTGATATGTTGTGCTGAGGCTGAGGCTGATACTGAAGCTGAAGCTGAAGCTGATGCCTCAGATGATGAGGCTGATGCTGATGCTGCTGATGTCGTTGGCTGTGTTCAGCCAATGTCGAGGACGAGGTTGATGAGCATGACTACGAGCGGGCGCGGGGCGGTAATGCTGCGACAAGGACAGGCAGGCTGCATACACTGCAACTGATGGTGACAATCTCAGCGCGGAGGCTGAAACTGATGAGGTTAACAGCGATGCTGGAGATGATGAGCCATATTATGTTACGCTGTCGCGTTGCCTGGCTCAGGGCTCGGAGCTGAGCGTGTCATAAATGTCGCACGCCACGTTACTGATGACTGTGATTATGCCGCATGCCCCTCCGCTCACTCCCACACATCTACTCCTCACTCTCTGGCTGATGCCAGCGTGTTGTTGTATGTCGCGCTTGGCGGCTCCAGACCAAACAGAAAATTTGCATGCGCACGAAACGTCATCGAAAATGCATCATTAGCAGCTGGGAATTGGGCAAACAAGTCTATTTGTCGCCTCGCAGCGAAGACAGCGACAAAGGCACGACCATGTCGCGATATGCAAAAGACCCCAGCGCAGCGCCCACGACTCCACACTCGAGGCACCACCTGGAGCACTTGTTGCCAGCGTGTGGCGCTGATCTATGCCCCCAAAGCCGTAACCCGCCATCGCCCCCAGCACTTGTGCTCCATTCAAATGCAAATCCGTTCCTTCGCTCTGTTGTAGCTACAAATGTTTCCACGGCCAGCCGCACGAGCGGCGCTTTGTGTGTTCGGAGCTGCGCTAGTAAACTGACGAAATGGTGTTTCAAATGCTTTGTATTTTATTTGTTGTCACAGCTCAAGGTGATTGGAATTTACCGGCGGCCACGCCCGAAGCCACCGCGAAACTCCACAGAAGCGTTGCCAGCGCCCACA